CTTCTCTGTAAGTCTGACTTCAAAATAAAGTGAAAAAAAAAAGGTGGCCAGTTTGGAATGAGCACTCTTCAGGGTTAGCATGAAGAGTGCTGGCAGCAGCTTGGACCGGGCATTGCAGGGGCCAATTCCCCTCTTCCTTCCCCACTAAGGAGGGATCTGGGAGCCCAGCCTGGGGAGGTGACAAGCAGCAGAGAATGGTTGGAATCTATGTGGGTGTCTTTCTGCTGGACTCTACTGCTCCCCTGACTTTGGACACCAGGCCTAGCATTCAACGCTGTCCATGAGCGTGAGCATACTCACTCTGGGGGGCTCTGTCTCCATGCTGTTGACACACTGCTCCTTCTTTGCCTGGAACAGCCTCCCGTCCCTGCCTTTGCCTAGCAGAGGTGTCCCATCTTCTGGGAAGATCCTGATAGAAGTCTCCCTCCCAGGGGCATTGTTCTGGCCTCTGGGTGCTCTTAACTACAGCTTGATGGCGCTCCTGTGTGCTGCTGGTGGTCAGGACCGATGTCGCTGTGCTTTGCCTAGTGCATAGTGGCCAATCACAAAAGGTCTCAGAGCTTACTGAAGACCAGTGTGTCCTGACCTTTTGGGATCTGATGCAAGGTACGAACCCTCTGGCCCAGGTGAGCATCCAGGTGAGGAGTGAGGTGGGAGACAGGCCAGGAGAGGGCTGTGTGCAGGGCTGCTTTCTACCCGGATTGATGGTTTTGGCAGACCTGAAGGCTTCTCCTTGCTGAGACTGCCCACTCTAGCACCTCTCCCTGCACAGGGTGGGACAGAAGCCCCGGGCCCCTGCCCACTTCTCTGCCTTTTTTCTAAGCTCAGTTGGGAGATTTGGGGGTCGCAGCCCTAGCCGGGCCCTCCCTGGCTGCGGCTGCACCTGCTTCTCCTCCTGGCAGGTGCGTGGCAAGCAGAGGCAGGGAGAAGTTCTGCCTAGGGTCACTGCTCCTGAGACCCTTCTCACACTCATTGTTACTCAACTTTTTCCCTTCCATCACAGTAAATCTCCTTCTATTATTCTCCAAGTTGATATAGTAAGTTGTGTCATTTTGAGAAGAAATACATAATAGTGTATTAGAGGAATCATGGATCTCCTCATTCATGCTTAGAAAAAATTTATTACAATGTAAGAAAGTCTGAATAGCATGAATTTATTATAATGATTTAACACTTCTGCACTTGAGTTAAAAATGCCTCTCCATAAATAACTGTCCCTGGAAAACATAGCAAATTTACACAGTTTACCATTTCCCAATGTTATATAAATCCAACAAGCTTAAATCACCTCCAGCTGGGAGGAGGACGCTGAAAATTGGGGCTGTGGGGTTCATAGTGTCTCAGCTGGCTGTGACAAGAGGCAGGACAGCTGGCCTTCCCTTCCTCCAGCGCCACCCCCCCTGCCCCCCCCCGCCCCCCCACCGCCCTGTCTCAGCACCGGGAGGGAGGACAAAGAGCTGGGATACCAGGGTTTTTAACTGCAGCACAGGCGAAGGACTGTGGGCCTCGGGCATCCTGGCGGTGGTCAGGCTGGGGCTGTTGTCTGTGTGTGGTGGCAGTGAAGTGCCAGCCAAGGCCACCCAGCTGTGGACTGCAGGGGAAGGGAAGGGAGAGCCCAGTGCCCATGCCCTGTGCCAATCTCTAACGGGGCCTGGCCTTCCAGCTGAGCACCTCTTCTCCTTGCCCGCACCCCAGCACTGCTCTCTGCTCCTGGGACTTCTAGTCTATGTTCCAGGGAGTCCCCTCTGCCTCCACTGGACACCCTGCCTCAGCCTACTTGCGTGGGCACCTTTGTCTTATCATTCTGCTCTTGCTCTGGGCTAGTCTTCCCGGGCTAGGTCAGCGTTCCAGGCGCCAACTCATAGGTTAGGAATTACCACCCCCTTTTTACAAATAATTTTATAAATTACTATATCTGAGGCTTAGAAAGTATAATGTATAAGGTTTAACTTTTTTTTTTTTAATTTGAGAAAGAGAGAGCTAGCGAGTCAAGTAGGGGAGAGGGGCAGAAGGAGAGAGAGAATTCTAAGCAGGCTCCACCCTCAGCGTGGAGTCCCTACGTGGGGCTCAATCCTGGGATCATGACCTGATAGGAAGAGTCAGATGCTCAATGGACTGAGCCACCCGGGCGCCCCTGTAAGGTTTTAACTTTATAATAAAGTTTAAGTTTATAAAGTAAAACTTGTCTTATGTGTACAGCTCATGAGTGGTAGGGCTAAGTTGATTCCAAGGTCAATATTTGTCATTTTTGGACATTTAGCATGCGAACAGGGAGACAAACAGTACACAAGACCATACAGTACGGTGTGTGAGGTGGGCTAGGTCAGAAGGCTCTCTGGAGCATTAGCGGAAGCAGAGAGTCTATAAGGATACCTGGAGGGATCAGGAGAATATGGAAGCAGTGACAGTGGAGCTAGGTCTGGACGGTCATCCGTGAGACAGGGACGTGGAAAAGCCACACAGATGGCAAAGAGCAGTGTGTCTCGGGGAGGTGGCCAAAAGCTGTGAGTTGCAAAGGTGAACAGAGCAGAGACAGGAGGGAGGCCAGGTGGATGAAGGAGGGTCGGATGCCGAGTCCTGAGTGTCACTCTAAGGGGTAATGCTCCTTGCCCTGTAAGCATTGTGGAGTCCTTTGGATTTCTAAGCAGGAAAGTTGCTAAGTCTTAGATTTGTTTGGAGAGAAAATATGAGTCAGTGTGGAAATGGGGAGGGAGCAATGGAATGTCCCCAGGCCCTTCAGTACAGCCCTCTCTTTCTCCTTTGTGAGAGAGGGGCAAGCAGCCTGGCATATACAGAGTCCTGGACTTTGGAGGCACACATCTGTTTAATTTCTTCCTTCCCTCCTTCCCTCTCTTCCACCCGTGCACCTACCTATCCATCTAACTGATAATGACAAGAGTCTGTGACGTGCCAGGAATCATGCTAAGTTCTTGGGAGTGAGTGATGGCGAAGACCAACATCTTATTCTGGCCACCATGGGGCCTACTGTCTACAGGAGGCAGTTCTAGCACAGTAAGTGTTGTCATAAAGGATGCACAGAGGGCTAAGAAAGCTCACGAGAAGGTCAGGAGGGTATCACAGTGCCTTCAGTAACTATGGAAGTTGACAGTGGTTCGAGCACGGAAATCAAGAGAAAGAAACAGTGGGGAAATGAAGGGGCCAAACTATGAAGAGTCTTGTGCATGATGCTCAGAAGGCCAAGCTCCCTCTTAAGCACAATAGGAAATGAAGTACTGCAAGTACCCAACGCTTTAAGCCAGGCTGTGACGTGGCAAGATGACCCTGGTCGCCTCATGGGGACGAGTAACAGGGAGCCCTTATGAGTGCTTCCTTATCTGTGCTGAGCGCTTGACATGCACTAGCTCTCTGCACCTTCACAACAATCCCTTGAGGCAGTTTCTCTAATGAGCCCCATTTAAAGATAAGAGTGAGGCAAAGAGGGGTAAATGTTCAAGGAGGAGTCCAGGCCATCTGGCAGGAAGCCCAATGCAGAGGCTGTTGTGCTAGAGAAATGTCAGCAGAGAGGGAGCAGACGTGCAGGTTGAGAACTAGGAGGTGGACTTGCTACTTACCTCCTAGTAGTTTGACGGGAAGGTGGAGAGGGGAAGAAGGGAATCATGACCCTCCCACACTCAGATTCTGAGTTGGAACCCTATTCTTTACTAGCTGATCACCTTAGTTAGGGCCAGTTAGACCTCATTTTCATTTTTTTTCATTAAAAAAAATACGTATAGCACGCTTTCTTTGAAAACATCTGTGAAACATATTTTAGAAAGTCAAGTGGCTTCAGTCAGTTATATATATGCCACTTTTTTTTTTTTTAATTTTAAACATTTATTTATTTTGGAGAGATAGAGCACAAGCAGGGGAGGGGCAGAGAGAGAGGGAGACACAGACTCCGTAGCAGGCTCCAGGCTCTGAGCTAGCTGTCAGCACAGAGCCCGATGCAGGGCTCGAGCCCATGAACTGCGAGATCATGACCTGAGCCAAAGATCAGACACTTAGCCGAATGAGCCACCCAGGCACTCCCTTTTTTTATTGGTGCACAAGATAACATGCTGAAAGTATAGGTGTGCATGATGTTTCCTTGTCCTCATTCCATAAAGAACTGAAGGTGGCTTACAAGAGACACTTATATACTGAAATGACTTTATATTTTTATTTTTTTTTGAAGTTTATTTATTTACTTTGAGAGAGAGTGAGAGAGAGTAGGGGAGGGGCACAGAGAGAATCCCAAACAGGCTCCACACTGACAGTGGGGCTTGAAGACCCGATGTGGGGCTTGAGCTCACAAATCCTGAGGTCATGACCTGAGCCAAAATCGAGAGTCAGATGCATAACTAACTGAGCTACCCAGGCACCCCCCTGAGATGATTTTTTAAAAGTATGAATATCATAAACATTGCATAAAATGGAGCACAGGGCTTGGGGCTGGTTGGGTGATGACTGTGGTCTTGCCACCTCTTCTGAGGTATACCTGCAGTCTCCTTGGTCAGATGGAGGTGCCAGATTGGCCTGGGGAATAAAGGGCAGGATAAGGTCTCTGGCTGTTAACTGAATCCATGAGTATGGATCTCAAAACTGGGCGTTTCAGGCACACAAGCCCTCCCCAGCATCTTTTAGCATCTAAAGCCATCTAGCCAGGACCTTTTATTCCTGTCTCCAAGCGCCATGATAGTTCTTCCTTGCGGAACCATTTGGGTGACAGGCACATGGAAGGGGCTCAGGGGTACACGTGAATTGAAACTTCCTTTCCAGCAACCACACCACCTAGAGGTGGCTTGGGGTCCATGTGACGGGAGTGAGCTGGAGTCAACCAGGAAAACCTATCAGGATGTGGCAAACTGTTTCCTCTCTCTGAGTTGACCCACGCCCCTGATGTTAAACACATACTGAGGAAAATAACATTTTGAAAACTTATGGTGCTGCTCTTGCTTCCAGGCTGTGCCCCACATTTCTGGTGAGGGGTGTCAAAGGCATAATTCGATACCACAACCACATGGGGAGAATAGCCATGGAGATAATTTATTAACTTAAAATCTCTCACATATATAAGCAATTACCCACATTAAAAACAATGTTCACTGAGGTGAGGGGAAAGCATGACCTGGGAGGAGCCTGCCGTAGTCTCCACCCCATTAATGACCTCATTCTTTGTCCAGGTCTCTCCTTTAGGCCTATTCATTCCCAGAGTTTCCAGGTAGCAAATTTCTCAGAGAAGCCAGGTGTTGGGAGTGGGGCCAAGTGCAAAGGGCAGCTCTGAAGGAGAGAGCCCCTCCTTCCCCATGACGTTTGGGGTTTTCTAGCTAAGTCCCCACCATGGGGGGCAGGTTTGGATGAACACAAGTGTGCCTCCAGGAAGGATGACTGTTGGCCAAAGCTTTTCCTTGATTAACCTTGGTTTCCTAAATCGGGCCCTTGTGCCCTTGTAGGGAGCTTGGGTGGACATACTTTGTCTTTTCCCATTTTGCAAACATTGATTGGTTTTTCTCTCACAGAATGGTGGGTAGCAGGGTGGGCAATGTTGGGGCACTATGTGCACCTCCCCTAATATGTATCCAGCCTTGCTTTCAGGAAGCAGCTGAAGGAAGCCAGTCACTGTTGGGAGCACTTTACCAGGAAGAAAAGCATACCCCTCCGTGTCAGACCCTCTTTCCGTAGGATATCTGCAATTAGGTCAAGCTTCCAGGCTCTACAACAACCTTTGTATGTATCTCAACATAAGACAGATTAAGATGTTAACATACACGGTTCAATTTATAAGGAATATACTGGATTAGCCACAAATTCACATCCTACTGCCCTGACACACAAGAAATACCCACAGGATAGAGAAAGGCAACTGGTGGGGGAATGTAGCATATGAAAAATATGCTGATTGACACTCTGCTGAAAATCATCTTTGCTCTTCCAAATTGCTCATGCAGGGGGAGGTAAAGAAGCAATTAAACTCCAATCTGTGGCATGTGACAGCCTCACCCCAAAAGACCTCAGTTTAAATCTCATTTATGATTCTTCTAAAGGCAAACAAGCTTCTTAAAGAAATCATAATCCTTTTCTTGGTCTTTCCAGCACCCTCTTACTCTGGAGATCTGTAAAGACACTGGTGTCCAAATGGTAGAGTGTAGTTATGGCTGATCCAAGAGACTGATGTACTTAAGGTGCTTATGACACTTGGGGCAAGGAAAAGAAAGTTCTGGAAACTTAAGTTTAAGTGACAAAATGGCTGAGGGCTCTCAGTTTGCTTCTACCCATTCTGCCACACCTAAGGAAACTCATTTTCCAAACACTTTCTGAAATGGGACAAAATGGACTTAGTTACTCTCACAGGGGTGAATTTTAAAAGGATATTGTAATCTGCAATGCCTTTTCAACTTTTCAATTGGACGCCTAAGACTAGTTAATCTTGACCTCAAATTAAGGATATGGTATTGGTAGGTTCCATTCTTCTATCTTCCAAAGAACAAAAAGATCCAAGTAAAGGAAGGATGACTGGAGTTGACAGGGCCTCATCCCAAAGAGACAGTGAGATTTAGATCCATTCAGATAAGGTATCTGTTTAATAGGCTTTTGTAGGCTGAAATAATACAGTTTTGATAAAGATTTCAGGGAAGCCATGCAGGCTCACTAAATGTAGTTTGCACTGAATGGTCTGACTTTGGCTACCAGTGCTAACTGACAAAAACTCTTGGTCCCACTTCAAGCCTGGAGTTGGTGAAAGGGAGAGGGAAAAAAAAGTAATACCCTCCAGATCAAATAAAGTCATTGAGTATACATCTCTGGGAACACATTTTCCCCTTGCTTCCAATGGCTGGGAAGTTTTAAACTCATTGGCTCTACCAGGCTCATCGTGCTGCCCATTGGCACATGAACCTACCAGAGCCCACTGTAAGCTGAAGGACCCATCTCAAGAGCCCTGTTGAACAGGAGAACAGAGAGGAGGAAACAAGGCCTCAAGGATATTTCTTCCACAGGCCTTCTCTGGGTCAAGTGGAGGCCCAGTAGGAAAGAAGGGGAGACTCTGCTTGGGGTGGTGGAGGAGAATCTGGCAAGTAGAGATAGTTCTTTGAGGTCATGGGACAGTGGGACAGTGACCCAGAGCAGAGCACATAAAAGGCCTGGTCAACCCAGGGCCTTTGGTCCTCATAGGTAAGAGGGAGGACCAGGGAAAGCTCATCAAGTGGCTGATGCTCCTCTCTAGCTCCGACATCTTCCCGAGATACAGCCATGGGCAGTTCAAAAGAGTGAAGAATATAGACACTCGAGTCAATAAAACGTACTGAGATATTGCTCTTCTTTATCCTGGGAAATGAGCGGATGGCAGGAGAAGCATTTCAGGCCTGTGCCTCCATTTTATTTCCCGAGGGTAGTCACTCTGTTGTGGGATTTAATGCTGGCTTCCAAGGGTTGAGTGGGTCCCTCCCTCTAGCCCACTGTGCCCCTTGGTTAAGGGATGGGCCACTGCCGGGCTGATGATTACTGACAATGGTCACTCACAATTGGTCCTTAGTGTTGTTTGTGAGGGTAGGTGCACCAGCTCCAACTTTGGGATCCAGTGGCCACGCGTACACAGAGAGAGGCAGGCAGTGAGGGACAGAGGTAAAGGAGAGGTGGACGCAAAGAGTCTGTCTTTCTGAACACTTATGTTACAAAGGGGCTACTTTTAAGTCAGAGGGATCTTTCAGTGAAAACGTTTTCCTTGTGTACAAAAGAAAGCCAACCTTTTCCAATTGAGTATTGAGAAGGAAATGCTCTTGAAATCAGGCTGAATATGCCACGGCCTCTGCACGTAGAAAGGTCCTATGTTAATTTTCTAATCTCTGTTTGGCCTAGAAAAGATTCTGCCCTCCACCCCAAAAACCCCTTAATGTGTTCTCTACTGATTGGTCTGACCAAAATCAATCCAGGTTCGTAGAATGATTTCTATGTTCAATACATAACAGGATGCTAGTATAGGAGAGACATGGTTACTTTGCCATCAAATAATTTAACATCCTAGATCAGTACATAAAGAAGCCCACACATTTCTGATGGAAATTTTGTAGCATGTGTTTCAATGTCAAATGAAAAAGATATCTTCCAGAATTTGATTCTCCTCTAGGTCTTCAGGGGTCCTACCTGCCCCCACCTTGTTCCAGATTGATTTTCGAGGACTGGGTCGGCAAGTACTGTGATTCCAGGCTCCAGCTTCTCTGGAGGGATGCGGCTGAGATTTGGGAGCAGACTTTGGACTCAGAGACTGAACCAAATCCAACAGAGATGTCTCATACCTGTAACACACACACAACCCAGACAGAAAATGATCAGACTGATGGAACATTAGAATCCAAGAAGCTTAGAGAGCTGGGCTACCTGGGGTAAGAATGAGATCACCGATACATCATTTCCAAGAGGGCCTTCTAGGGGAGTTTTAGGGAAGGTAAACAGCAGAAGGCCCCTGCTCTCTGTCTGTAAGCTCTTCTCTTCTGCTGATTGTTAACATTCTTTTCTAGCCTGTGAAGGGAGACTATGGAGTGGGTGAAGGAATTTGACAACAGCAGTGATGGTAGTAGTAATATTTATTGCAAGCTTACTAAATGTCAGGCACTGTTCTTAATGCTTTACATATATTCAACCTTCATTTAACCCTCTGAACAACCCAATGAAGTAGGTATTATACTAGTCTGATCTCTGCTATATACATGAGGAAACTGAGGCTCAGGAAGTAACTCATCCAACATGAAGCCATTATATGACCAAGTCAGGATTTGCACCCAGGTAGTTTGTCTCCAGTGCTCTCATCCAGGACACTAACGCTGCCTATCAAAGTCTTTGCAGCCAGCCAGACCTGGTTTAAAACTCTGCTCTACTATTTGTAGGCTGTCTGATCTTGGGAAAGTTCAGAACTCCTGTTATGATTAAATGAATCAGTTGGTATAAATTAACATAAGTACTCAGTAAATACTAGTTCCCTTCCTGCTATCTTACTCCCACTCTCTCTAGAATCTTGGGAAAAGAAACTCTCATGTGAATCTATAAAGAGCTCCCTCCAAAGAAAGTCTGCCTTCGTGTCTAGCATTTTCATCAGAAAGGGTAAGTTTTGGGGCACCTGGGTGGCTCATTTGGTTAAGTGTCTGTCTGACTCTTGATTTGGGCTCAGGTCATGATCTCATGGTTCATGAGATTGAGCCCCGCATCAGGCTTTATGCTGACAGCCAGAAGCCTGCTTGGGATTCTTTCTTTCTCTCTCTCTTCCCTCCCCTCTCTCCCTCTCTCTCTCTCTGCCCCTCTGTCACTCGCGCTCTCTCTCAAAATAAAAAAAACAAACAAAGGTAAGCTTAGGGCAGCATAGAGGCAGAGAAACTAGTGGTGGCCAATAATACCCTCATTCATGGCCTCTTTGTTCGTGTGTCCGGTATGGAAAGCCAAAGGCATAAATGTATCTGTCTCCACATTCATTTATATGAGGGGCAAGTAATTTCTGCAGATATACCATGAAGCCTCGAGCAGGGCATGTGTGACCTATGCAGCTGCACAGGGCCCTGGACTTGGCTTAATGCTCTTTTGCTGTGATCTTGAAACTCTTGATTTCATCTTTGACCTTGTGTTTCTGAGGTCTGATGAGACAAGGGAGCAGGTGTGTTAGCAGAGGAGCTGTGCTGGCTGTGCATATGTGGGTTCGGGCCCACAGGCACAGTGGGCAATGGGCAGTGTGTATGCCAAACGGTTGGCCTGCCTGCTTGGTGTGCACATTCATGCCCGAAGCAGCCTGCAGGGGTGCTGCAGGGTGCCAGGGGTGTGGCTGGGGTGAGGACCTGGGCCTAGACTGGTTATGGCAACGGTGAAGGCAAGCAGAAGCAGCAGTGGTGAGAGGCTGGCTTGCCTGTCTTTTCCCAGCACCCATCCCCAGGGCAGAACATTAGTTCGCTGGCCTGAGCGCTGAGCTGGGAATGGTAGTGTTTAGGCAATAACATTAGTAAATTATTATAAAATAGAAGCATATACACAGACATTGCAATAAAGCATATTGAAGAAATATTAGAATTCTTCAAAGAGTTTAGAATCTGGTGTTAAAAGCTGCTGCATCATTGCAAAGCAAATATCCACAGGTTTAGAAATAGAAATTATCTTAAAATCCTCATATAAGGATGAACCTGAGGAAAGGGAAGCAAAAATAATAGGAAAACAAATAGCAAAAAATAGCAAAAAAAAAATAGAGGGAGGGGTACAAAACATAAGAGACTCTTAAATATGGAGAACAAACAGAGGGTTGATGGAGGGGTAGTGGGGGGGCTGGGCTAAATGGGTAGGGGCATTAAGAAATCTACTCCTGAAATCATTGCTGCACCATATGCTTACTAACTTCGATGTAAATTTAAAAAAATAGAAATTAAAGGTAAAGACTGCTGCATCTGTTGGAGAAGAATACTATTTTCACATGCAGCTGCAAATGAACTAATTAATGAAGATGACAGTTCTAAAATTAATTTTTCTCTGTCATGAAAGATACAGCAATAGAAAGCCTAAGTAGGAGTTTAGAATTACATACAAATCATTAAGTGACTTTTGGTTTCTCGTATGACCTCTACAAGTTCTAGGACAAGCCAGAGAAAAACACCACCATACAAACTTATACTTAAAATTAGATTTTCTGACATACATGAAGCTAATGTGTATAAAGAATTGAATCTTTTTAGAAAAAATTGTTCTGTGTCATCAGCTCAAGGGATCCTCGAATTTATATTTTGAAATCATTTATCAGAAATCTATCCCAGTGTTGTCAGAGCCCATAAAATATTCCTAACAGTTCCGGTGTCAGTAGTATCAGCAGAAAGATTCTTCTCAAAATGAAAAATTACCAGAAATTATGTGCGATATTTCACTTGCCAAGAGTGACTGATTTGCTTTTAATTGTATCATTTAAAATAAACTTGCTAAATGAATCAATTTTGATGATCTAATAAAGGAACCTAAAGAAAAGTCAGCCAGAAAAATCTTATGATCAGTCAAGTTATATTAACAAAGTATTATTATTTGTTATATAAAATTATGACCTCAATAATATAAATTTTTTGCTATCTGTAGGTATATGCTATTACTCATGTATCACCATTATTAGTAATGCTTTATAAGTTTCTTGTTAAAGGAAAAAGCTTTGTATTTTAGTACCTTTAACTGCACATTTTCATTCTACTTTTTGAACAAGGGGCCTCACATGTTCACTCTGCATTGGTTTCATAAGTTATGTAGATCACCCTTGCCCACAAGTCCCGGGCAAGATCAGACTAATATCTCTTGCATGGAAGTGTCATCATTTTCAATGATATGAAAAACTTTAAATTGAAATTCTTTTTAGCAGAATTTTTTTTTCAGATTGTATTCTCAGAGCATTAAGACACTGTTTCAATACAATTATCTCTGCCATTCAAAACAATGGTTTCTGTGTTCAACCAAAACATCTTAAAGTGTAAGCCAATGAGTTGGATACTGCTTCCAAGAAAGTTTATCAGAAAGACAGATCTACTTCATGCTCAAGAAATAGGCTTTGTTTGAATCTTCCTTGGAGATGTGTGGTAATGGTAATATTCATCTCTTTATATGGGCTGCCAAAACTTTTTTTAAAAGTTAGAAACAATGGAAAGCTGTATTTTTCTATACAATTTTATGCTTAAAACAACTAGGGAGAGATACTCTGAATGAGGAAATAAACCAGCTACTTCCTCTATTAAAATAGAGCCAAAATAACTGGGGATCAGAAAGTATGTCAGAACTCAATCTTGTAGAGACACAAGCTGAAACAGAGAGTAATGACAGGAATTTGTGTTTAAAGACTGATTTAAAAGGTAGCAAGTTATTTAATCATTTGAAAGAAGTCATGGGCTTCAAATTCCTTCATAGTACTCTTATTCACATATAATAGAGTAAAAAAAGAATCTTTAGAACATTGCAAGAGTGACCCACAAAACCACAGAAGGTTAGATCTGCTGTGTTAGGTAGGGTAAGTTAGGTTAGGCAGCAGGACAAATTAACCTCAAAATTCCAATGGCTTAATATGACTCAAATCTATTTCAAAGCAATGGCGTATGCTTAAAGTAGGTCTAGGGCAGAGATTGGGTTCACCATCTTCTGGCTGCATCACCTGGAACATATAAGCTTCTCGAATGTCCTGGCAGGGCAGGGAAACTGAAGAATTGTGTATAGGTTACTATAGACTGGAAATTATACAACCTTTATCCTTGGGAAACTGAAGAATTGTGTATAGTTACTATAGACTGGAAATTATACAACCTTTATCCTTAACTGTGTGATTGGCTAGAACTAGTCATGTAGCTCCTGAAGGGGAGGAGAACTGGATATTGGCAAACACTGGTAATGCTTAGTCATGGAGGACTGGGTCTTTGCCATTTGGAATAATTCTCTTATTTTACTGATGAGGAAACTGAGGTCCAGAGAGCTGTATGTGAACTGATTAGGATCACACAGCAAGGGGAGTGCCAGGGCCAAGTGATTTTAATCCAGGAAACTTGACTTCCTAGACTTGTATGTCTTTAGTCTCTCTGCCAAGATAAAGAAGATGTGTAACTAAAGGAAAAGTGAACAAAATGGTTGCTGTTTCCAATTATGTTTTATTTTAAAAGTATAGTATGATTACTTGTAACTCAGTGTGAACATATCCACATTTCTAATCAACTGGGCTACCTTTTTGCCAATAATTTAATTTACCCTAAAGTACAAATGCTTATCTTCATGGTTCTGCTGTTATCATAAAGATTCCGTTTCTCTAGAAGCCATATTCAATCACGGATTACACTGTGGCAGAGAAATCAGAAAGGCTGTGGGAGGCAAGGGTCTCAGATCTCCATGGTGCCTCATAGCTAGTTTCCTTCAACAAGTGTTTTTAATGGTACTTTTGCTACCAGGAAAGACCACACAATTTGGCAGATTAAAAAGCAACAAATTAATAAAGATTGTTTTAAAAACCATAGCTTGAGGTATCACCCAATTTTATACCAGAATTATAGAGGCAATAAAGCAAAATAAAAAATGAATTCCTATAGCATTTTACACTAACTACAGCAAAGAGCACTGTTTATTAATCAAGTTGTATTTTGTGAGCAGTGCGTCTTAAGTGTGCTGAGGTGACATGTGACAGGAGATTATAAAGTTGATTAGTTTGGCCTGGCCCTGATGGGAGTTTGGCATGCAGTTAATTTAAAGGGATATGTAACTTATTCACACTCATGAAATGCCACCCCTCGAAAACCTCAGACTCTGTTTTAGCCCGAGGCTT